GGGGGGCGGAGTCGTTGTTTGTGTCATCTCTGTTGCGGCAGGAAGGCAACCGGAAAATGATTGTGGTGGTCTGTACCTGGTTGGCTAGGCGGTCGCCCTGTGATCATTCTCACGCGGGGGAAGCGGGATACAGGGGAAGGAGGTGTACTATTTGTTGGTAGCCCTGTGGTGTTGGTGCACCCGCTGGTGGTGTAGCATGAAGAGACCGCTGTGAGCAAGGGGGCCTATGGTGCTCATGCATCCATTGGTGTAGAAAGAAGGGGCCCTGTATTAGTAGTGGCGATGCGCCCGCTGGTGTGTAGCGCAGGTCGTAGCCTAGACGGAGAATGGTTGCACTGCATGCTTTCCCGGTTAAGCGTGTCTGCATGTGTTCCCCGTTGCACAGCGTGTGCGTCGGTTATTTCTTTTCCAGGGTAGCGATCACAATCTGCCGCCAGGTTCGCTACTCTACTGGTGGCGTGTACCTTGGTGTTTGTCGTTTTGCCGTGCTTGGCAAGTGGCATTGCGGTAGCCTCGAAGGTACTGCTATCCCATATGATGATCTTGTGGCAAAGCGAAGTGGACGTTACAACAGTTCCGCACGGTGGGGGGCGGAGCGTGGGGGTATTTACATAGTTAGGTTGGTAGGTGCCGCTGCTGTTGTCATTGTTTCGTAATATGTTATTTGTTGTTGCTCGAGTTGATTTTTGCGGTTTCTTCGAAACAAGGCAATACCAAACGGTTCGTTTTTGGAGCAGTGGCAGGGATGCAAACCCCCCACACCGTTACACTTGCGATGCGAAACCGAGTGGCACAGGGCTTACAAGGAATGCTGCCTCTCATTCTCCGATTCCCGTCAACTTGTCGTCAGTAAGATACTCACATGCTTTGAACCTCGAACCTCAATTCGTTGTACAGTTGGTAGCTGGATTGTAGCTGGCGACAGTCGGCATCAGCCAAATGCAAGACTTGTGAATGAACGGCATAATTTCGATGTTTCTTTGTTTTCGTTTAGTCGTGATGGACCGGTTCCTCCTGCGGAGTTAATCATCATCATATCTGACAAGAGACTTTTTCAGGCGAACCTGGACGGACTTAGCTCATCGAACTGTTCTGTTGTTTCTATTGTATTATAGGAATGATTTCTTTTGGCCTTCTGAAGCAAAGATACCGTCGCTCACATCGATTTACACTCTATTGAAGGTGCAAGATGACGCTCGCCGCTTCCTGGGTTCAATTCATGTCAACAGATAGATTTACAAAGAGAGCACCATTGCGTTGTACGGTCGACAGTATATAGAGAGGAGTTTGGTGTATTCCTACTTAGTGACCCGACGGTTAGCAAGATCACGCCATTCGAAGGTACGTGTCAATGTGTGCGTCAACTGCATGCAATACCATCCGGAACGTCGGAACGCATGGACAGCGTCAATCGTCAACGTGGGTGGAGATCGTGAGATGACAGTCCCGCGAAATAAAATGCCGTTCCAAGACCTTGAAAACTTTAGAAATGGACCTGCACTTGACACCCTCTGGCACAGACCAGGCACCTACCTGCCCATCATCGCCACCTCGACTGCTGCGTCTACCAGCACCTCTCGGGTGGACGACTCTCTAGTTTCCCGGAGCGTGCGCTTGGCGCACAACAGTTGCAACCCGCGGAAAGGTGCGCAGCGAGAGCGCAGCATAGCCAATTGACCCGCCGCCGGACTCGAGGTCCTCCTGGCTGCGTGTGTGTGCTGCTGCTGGCTGTTGAGGCATCTGTGACCGACCATAGGGCGTGCGTCGCCAGCCAAGTGGTACCGCTCTGTCCCCATCCCCTTCATAGCGGCCCTAGCCCACGGTATCGGTCGGTGCGCCTGCTGAGAGAGACATCAGCTCTTGGGATTGGACCGGACTGCTTGCAGGAGACTGCAACGTGAGATTCCTGCATCTTTGGCGATCTTGAAAACACACTGGAGAGAGTAGGCCGGCTACCGCGGGTGTGTGACGACAGCAAGATTTAGGCGCGCATGGCTACTAGAAACGCGAATCACGGCGGCGGCGCCGGTAACAAAGGTGGAGGTGGGTGGGTGCAGCAGGATGTCGCTTGGGCGCCCGGCAACGGCGGTTGGGGAGACGGAGAGGAGGAGGAGGTTCGGGTGGGGGCGGGGCAGACCCTGGTTCACGAGACCCACGCCCCGAAGAGGATCTCGCACATCCAGTTCGGCCTTCTGGATGCAGAGGTGCGTGAGACCGATATGTAGCGGGAATGATACTGTTTCGGGGGGGGGTGTTGTGTCTTGGAGTTCCCGTCAGCGCACAGTTTGAAGTGCTACTCTGTATTTAGTTCTGCGTGCAGATGTTGGGCACAAACTATCCATCTACCTTCGGAGATCTGGCCGGTGTTAATGGCATCCCGACCTCGAATTATGTAATGAAGCTACTTCGATTGCAGCGTACAGTTGGTACTGTAGATTGGGCTATCTACAGTTTCCTCGAAAAACAACTGATAAATTGGCAGGGGTGCAAGGGGGTGGTGTGTGGTGTGGTTTCGGCCCTTTGCGGATACTTGGGTGCCAGAAGCAGCACCGCCTGACGGATGGACGGGTACAGATTGACCGCACATGGACCCCACGCCAACACGCCATTTTGCTTGTCCGCATTCGGCCACCACATTTTTTATCGTGTACGCAAGGCTTGGAAAGTCCACTTGTGGTGGGATGTATGTCATACAGCAAGGGGAACCGTACATCCTTCATTGCAAGCCGCGCACCGCAGATTATATTTCATCTCACCCCCCACCCCCCCACCACCACCATCACCACCTTATACGTGCCTCGATTTGCCGTTGGCTGGAGCATGTCTCCAATGTTTGTTTTGTGTGCCGATCATTGCACGGATTTATTGGGTTTGGTAGGTAAGGAAGAGGTTACAATGATCCCGGCGCTAGGGCCGGGCATCTCCTCGAGAAGATCCCAGCGACGCACACTGAACACAGGGCATGTGTGAGGCCTCAATGTGACAATGACAACAGTGTAGAGAGCATACACCATGCATTTTCCATGTACCGTTAGGGACAACTCTAGGGAATGTCAATCCAACCACGTCGAAGCAGGTGACCTAAAGGGCAGTCGACTCATGTCTGGGATAGGCTACTGTAGCACCAGGGAGACGGTCAGGTAGAGGTTCGCGAATACGCGATGTGGCCAGAGATCGATTTCCTCGGACGGATGGTGTATGAGCCGTTCCGTTGGCTCTAGATGTCCCCTTTGAAACCCTTCGGTACAGCATGAGTCGGAAAGATTGCACCCTCGTGTCAGCGTTTTTTTGTGGCGTATTTATCCACAACAAGGACGGTGCGAACACTACCCTATAGCTCTGAGGAAAGTCCTCGAAGACATGTTTCCAAAAGTGCGCTTTACGGCAGTGGTGCCCCCCTGGTTGTGGAGAAATACGTAAGAACAAAACGCTTACAGGGGGGTGCCATCTCTCCGACAGTTACGGTGTATTTGCCACAGCAAGCAATGATGGGGCACTTGATATGATCCAGCTCTTGCTGCTCACCAACTAAACAAGAAGCAGCGCAGCGCATGTGCGACCGTCATATCTCGTCACAGAAGTGTTGGAACATACATGATTCATACCCCATGTTCCCCAGAAGGCATACAGAAGTAAATACCAGCGCCCGATGTATGGACAAAATTAATCCTGAAAGTATATCGTACACAAGACTCTTGAATTACCACACTGCTGTTTGGCAAGCACATACCAACGGGAGTGTGCATAACGTTGCCCGATCCCACGTGATTCACCAAACAACGGTGTCAGGAAGTGGAGCGCATGAGCGAGTTCCAGGTGTGGTCGCGAGAGCTGTTCAAGATGCCCGAGAGGATTGCCGCCCCTAACGGCTGCCTTGACCCGCGGTTAGGGGTGTCGGACAAGACAGCAGTTTGTGAGACGTGCAGGTATGTAAGCGGATACGCCTGCTCCGTTGCGCAGACCATATCTCATTGTGCAAACCGACTTCATTTCTCGATGTATTACATGAACTCTTTTGAAGCAATTGACCCAAAGACAATGACAAACGTCCTTGGTTGTGTTTTTTGTGTGTTTTAGACCCGTTTATTATGGCAATAATCCCTTCATTTTCGTGGTGAGACGTGTGTGAAGAGTACTACACGTTCAGTGTGATTGCGCTGATTTTAAAATATATCCATGGCATGCTAAACTCCTTGTTTCCTGCGGCCATATGCAACAAATTTTGCAGTACCGTAGACCGGTTCAGTTGCCTCGACAAGCGTTGAGACCTATGTTTTTTTTCATTTATACCCTTTTTTGGCAACTTGCTTTGCCTATGTCCGTAGATAAGTTACCTCGCCGCTCTCCCCTCTGATCTCCTCTTGATTTTGTTGTGGTACCATTTTTTGTGGGTTCTGCTCAAGATCCGCTGCGAGATGATGATGAACCGTAAATGACACAAGATAACACACCCCCTGGACCGATTTTCACATCTCGATTTCACGACAGCAGAAAGAGTCACAGAGCCGAAAACGGTGGCGTTGAAGCTGTCTCGTCGAGAACTTTCCGAAAATATATTGTTTCGTTTATGCATCCTCTTCGTGGCGTAGTCGAGCTTTGAAAATTGGTCCAGGAGGTGTGTTATCTTGTGTCATATACGGCATGTACTGTGTGTTGTTTTTGGAACTGTTTCGGCCAGATTCTGTCGGCATTTTACATCTTCTCTCCCCAGACAACCGTACTTATGAATTTAACTTTGCTGACTCCTGAGGTGCGATCATACTCGTGACTCGTGATGAACATCCGTTTGGGTCATCTCGGTTCGGTCAAATATTGTTTTTGTTTCGGCCGACTAAAACCTTCTTCCGTTAGACCTGACCTTAAACTGCATTTCAGCTGCTTACCAACAATTTTATCTTGTCTTGACGTAAACACTACTTGGCCTGACTTCGCGCATCCTTTTTTTCATGTTATCGCTCCTTCAGCAAGCTGCTGGTTGACTGCGCCGGCCACTACGGCCACATCAAGCTCGAGCTGCCCGTGTTCCACATCGGGTACTTCAAGCACACCCTCACCATGCTCCAGGTTTGCATGGAAAAATTCAAAGTTGCTGTCTACTCGGCTTCTTGTAGTTTGGATAGTTTTGTTTGGCGTTTCAAAGGAGTTGCGCATTCTCTAGCGTATGCGCTTGAAAAGTGTTTTGTGGAGAATTTGGAGCTTTTAGGGAGTCTGCGCACTCTCTCGTGCATGCGTCGGTTGTGAAGGTCTCGAGCCCAATTGCTCCCTTCGGGTAGACGCATCACGGTCTGTTTGGTGGTGTTATCGTCTTTCCGTCCCACGCTTGGTGTACGGTATATGACACAGGATAACACACCCCCTTGACCGATTTTCAAAGCTCGATTTCTCAACAGCACTCAACAGCAGGAAGAGTCACAGCGCCGATGACGGCGGCGTTGGAACCGTCTGGTCGAGAGATAGCATTTCGAAAATGTATCATTACGTTCTTGCATCCTCTTCGTCGTGAAGTAATCGAGCTATGAAGATCGGTCCAGGGGGTGTGTTATCTTGTGTCGTATACGGTAACTGCAATACGTGAATGCAGCCGGCTGCTGCTGCTGCTGCTGCTGCTGCTTCTGCTGCAAGACCTGTCGCTCGACACGATTTTCCTCCAAAGTTGGAAAGACGTGATTGAAATACGTGTTTGCAGGGAAAGCTTGGGGCCGAGCGACTGCCACTGACGAATTGTTCAAGTTTCGAAGAGGGTATCTTCTGCTTCACCTCCACGTTTCCGTGCCATCGTGCGCCCCCTCCCTTCCTCTCCCGTAGTGCATCTGCAAGACGTGCAGCAGAGTGTTGCTGCACGATGCGTCTCGGGTCAAGTACCTCAAGCGCATGCGGAACCCGCGGGGGATGGGTGCGTTGGAGAGGGGGAACCTTCACAAGAAGATCGTCACCGAGTGCAAGAAATCCACCAGCTGCTTCCACGAGTCTTGCTACGCCGTCAACGGAACCGTAAAAAAGGTACAGACATGCAAGTGATGATGGCAGTAAATAAAGGCACAGGCATGTAATTGATGATAATGCTGCTGCTGCTTGATGATCATGATGACGAAAAGGGAACCGTTAAGAGGGTACAAAAAATACTCAGGATGTCGTTCACGAAAGGTACATGGGGGTGTTGAGTTCAGTTCGACATCAATCTTTCGCGAAGAAGTTTCTCTCTTAGGTCGCATACGCAAGATATCGCACCCCCTGGACCGAGAGTTTTCAGCTCGATTGATCTATGAGTAGGATGCCACGAGTCAAATGATGCGCAAAGCCTCTGACAAGACGGTTCCGACGCCGCCATTTTCGGCACCGTCTCTGTTTTTGCAGCAGAGTAATTGAACTTGGAAAATCGATCCAGGGAGTGCGGTGTCTTGCAACCTCACAAGTATATGTACATGGGACACCTGTTGCGCGACCCGGTTCATGTGCCCTCTTTGGAAGCTTTAGACAAGTTATTGCACAAATTTCCTGGCCGCATCCATTCAGTGCTGCGGTGGTTTAGGTGGTGATGCTTTTTTTTTATGGAAGAGAACGGAACTAATGGTTTCAGTACCAAAGGGTTCAATCGCGTGCAATCTCATAACAAGAAGCACAACACGCGAAGAATTTGCGAGGGGGGTTGGGGGGGGGGTAGCAGTTCATCTAGCCTTGCGTTTTGCTCCCCCTTTACCCTTTACGTAATGGTGTATCGTGTTTTAGAATTCGCACACCATCAAGACACCTTTAAAAAATGTCTTACAAAGATCAATGCTCTGGTGGTTAATTTGGCGATAATATCCTCCTCAGGAAAGTGTGCAAAGTTTCATGGCCTATGTATTGAAGAATCTGGAAAATACCAATAAAGGCGTCTACATAAACTCCAGGGACGCGGAAGCAATCGTAGTTATATTTTTATTGCTGAACGAGAGCTTGTTGCTTACTATAGAAACTCACACGTCAGACCGAAGTCAACAGGTGCTCAGGTGGTTTAGTTGGTCATAATGTCCGCCTCACACGCGGAAGGTCGCGGGTTCGAACCCCGCCCCGAGTATATTTTTTAGCAAAAAAATATGAAATCCTGCGGAAAAGATGTCGACGATGTAGCGTTTGGGATGAAAATAGAAAATAGGCCTCCTGCTACGAAAAGCCTGGAGACTCCAACCAGGGTGGCTACCCCCGCGTTGACGTCCCTGGTGTCGTCAACGCGGCAGTCGCGCAGAGAGTACTTACCCCAGTAAATAAAATCAAACACAGCACAGTTGGGCGGGTTGTTGTTGTTGTTGTTGTCTTCATATTAAAAACCATCCCGGTCTCTCTATCCAGTACCTCCTTCTGTCTCAATCTCTCCTCCGTACTAATCCAGCACTTGACTCGGTCAATTTCCGTGGTCACAGGCTAACGTACCTAGAAAAGGTATACCAAAATAAAATGGACCCCAAGGGTTAGCAGAGCGATAAAATACAAACACAAGAATCAGAAACAAATAAATAAATAAATAGTGGAACGTGCGCACCACCAGCCTGGGGGGTAGCCTTCCGGAAGGACCCCAAGGGTCAACAGTACGTGCCAGTAAAAAAGCAAAACAGAAACGAAATAAACCAAAGACAGACGGATGGGACGGCTTTATTCTTACCGTACTTTTCCTTCGTTAGGGTTGGGGAGGCTTGTCACGAGTGGGCGTTCTCTCCAAGCCTTTATTGCAGATCATCTGTTCTCATCCACGTAACCCCTTTGTGGTTCCATGATTTCGACATTATTCTACTGCGGAATAGTTGTCGACGATGTAGAGTTTGGCATGAAATGAGGCCTCCTGCCACGGCATAGGACCCACCCATACTTCATGTTTTCACCTGTGTCATTATTCTCTGTCGTGGCCTTAATTGATCCCCATACTTCTCCATCGACGACCCGTTACCGTAACTCATGGCTTTCCATTATCCGAAAGCCGAAAAACGTTCCGTAAAAGCCTTCCTGCAACGGGTCGACGGTCTCCATGTACAACCGTTCCTGCTCCTGTTGGCTCTGGACTCGCCTTCGCTTAACGACGGCCTCTCCCCCTTGGGTCGTGGGCCCTACATATCGCTGTGCAACCCCTCGCGTCTTTCATCCCACAAAATCCATGAGAGCGTCTACCGCCGTCCCCGCTAGCGTTTGGCTTACCGCTCCTCCTACCCGAAACGAGCGCATGGTATACTGACCACCTGCATCGCCCATGCGGCCGTTCCGAATATGAGCTTGTAGCGAGGCGTTCATACGCGCCGCTGACCACTGTGGCGACCCCCGTGAGCCGTCGGCGTTGACCTCGGGGAACAGGTACCCCTCACGCACGTTTCATCCTGCTGACTTGGCTGCGATGGAAAACTCTTGTATCGCCCGCAACGGGCATAGCGCCGTACATGGCGATCTCGTCGAACCACTACCGCGTGCGACGAGCTTCGTAGAGTTTTGCCGAAATGAAAATTGAATGTCATCCCCGTCCCATCCGGAAGGTGCAAGACCTGTGCCGCCAACGCGCACCCCAAATCGAATCCTCGCTGCATCGTGTGAAAGGCGGTGACGAACAACGCGATTTCTCGGCTGCGGGCCACCCGCTCGCCCACCGGGTACAAGTGGCTCGCGGTGTTGCGCACGTACCGCACAAGGAAGTAGCGGGGCTAGCGTCGGTCGGGCTTGCTTGACGGTAACCCCCACCCTGCGCTGTTCTACTTGAACCCACGACAGGTACTTCCGAACCGCCGTGCCGTTGGCTGTGTAACCTCTCTTCTCACGCTCGTCCCATGGGTCCGACTTCCCCAAAATCTCAGACATCGCACGCTTGAGTTTCGACACAAATGCCTTGTCCAGTGGTTGAGCAGCGTACCGTTTAGCGCAGGTACTCTCCTTGCTGCACGCTGCCATTGAATTGGACCCGATCTCGGGGCAGTCTACCGCATGAACCACCTTCGTACCGTTGCCATGAGAATCTAGCCAGCCGAACCAATCCTGCACGTCGACATCAGTAGCACTTTCCCATCCCCGCATCCCGTTCGTGTGCGCTCGGAGAAATGCGTCAAACTTGTCCGCCACCGCGCATTTACGTTGCTGACTGGCCTCACTACTCAACGATGCTAAGACGGTCTCTTTCCGCTCGGCCAATCGGGTTTTATCGATGACCACGGTCGCCCCGGGCGCCGGAGTTTCTAAAAGACTCCGAAACGGTGGAGTACCACAGTGTTGGCAGAAGTTGAATGTGTTCTGGGCCCCACACGTACTACACAATACTTGCGGTATCCGGTCCTGTACTCGCGTGGATCCGGAGGGAACCCGCTCGAGGGCCCCCGCCGTACAATGCTGATGATAGTACAGGCACGGCGAAGCGAACACGAACAAGGAGAGGGGCGACTATAATCACCGTATCATTTATCGCGAAAATACAATTCCACCGCGCGCATTCCGTGTCGTACATTATTGTAATCGCAAACGCCGTCCTGATGGTGGGGTTATCCAATACTCCCCGTCCTCGGTAATACTAGCGATTTGACGGCGGCCCGTGCGGCCCGCGGCCACCAAAAATCTCGTACATCTGGCACTTGTACTACTGCGTGAGCTCGACACTCGGACAGATGTTGAATAATGTGCCCCGCCATGACAGGCGGCGGGAAACAATACCCGAAGGCCGGCGTGCCCAGCCCCGGTGTTATTGCTACATCCTGGCTAAAGACGTCCACTCCGGCCGTGCCTTCGCAGTGATACCGTGAGAAAAACGGCAGACGGGATGGGCCCCCGGCTCCCCCCGCATCGGTACACTGAGCATTCTCGGAAGACGCCATAAGATCGACCGTAAATTCTCCGAAATACTCGCGCAGCTGCTCAAACACACGTGATCGAGGGCGGATAATTTCGTTCCAGGCTGGTCGTGTGATGTCGTCGGCGACGCTATTCGCCGCTGACGGTACCCACCTCAATCTAAGCCAAAATCCGTGTTCGATTTGCAGCTCGTAAAGGCTAACCAGCATCGAGTGTGCGATGGGGTTACTCGATCTGCCCTTCCTAAACGCGTCGACGACCGCTCTATTGTCGACATCCATCAAAACTTGTGCTCGCTTAAGTCCTCCCGGGCGAGCGCTACAACACTTCTTCAGCACCTCGAGCAACGCGAGCATCTCCTTGCCATTGATGGAACGCGACAGCCATTCGCGGGGGAAGCCGCCACCTGCGGAGAATGCGCCACGTGGCAGCGACACTATTCAACCGTATTGGTTGGATGATGCATCCGACGAAGCGATGGTGAGAGAGACGTCGTATTGTCTCGCTTTCTACCACGGTCCCTCCTGAGCAGTCGATGACAGGGTGAGCCAAACGCGTAGCTCCGCGCGGAGGTCGTGTTTGTCCCTCAGTTGAATGGCCCGACCCTTAGCCCTCCTGATCTCCGCTAACATGTAATATGTCCAAAGAGAGGCCGGCCGAATCGCGACCGACATGCCGACACACTTGCCGGCTATCTTCTCGAGTGTGCGCACGGGCACGGAGTCGTTCGCAAGCGCTTGGAAGATGAGCTGATGGAGTTTGAGCAACTTATGCTCCGGGATGCGGAACGATGCGGTATGGGAATCGCAGATAACTCCGAGATACCGCTGTTGTTAAGAGGGGTTGAGGTCGCATTTATTGATGGACAGAAAATATCCGCATCGGTACGATACTAGGATGCCGGTGTGTAGAGCTTCCGCCGCCGACAGCCACTGTACTCGATCCGACTTCCTGAAAGTAGCGACGAAGTTCGCGTACCAGGCGTCATCGATATACGCCAGGACGAGGATGCCCCTGGACCGCAGGTACGCGGCTTTGGCTTCGCTCAAAGAATGGTAACAAAATGGACTCTCGTTCCACCCAAACGGAAGGGTGGTGCAGACGTAATCTACTCCATCGTAGTGTACGCCGAATAGCGGCCAGCTCTCGGGCTGCAAGCAGAGATTATGGAAACCCGCGCGGTCGTCTAAGCTCCCCATGAACACCCC